CTCCCACGCCCACCAACCTGACCCCGGGCAAACCGGTTGTTAAATTATTTGAATTCTACCACTGCCCATTCCAATACCCAAGTATAAGAAATTTAGCTCTCTGGGTCTTGTGAAGGCCCACCATTGTTCCTATGAAGGTTTGACCTCCATTAGCATTGCTGCCTTTTTTCACAACCCTCCTTTTCTAGCATCTGCTTTATTCTACAGTACTGAGGAGGAATACTTTTTTCCAAGATCAGCATTAGAGGTGATAACTTGGCTCAAACCAAATGCTTTCCAGATGGTGTGCTTTGCTTACGTAAATCAATTTAAAAGCTGCTGAGATTTTTTTTTCTAAAGTTCTCCTGGATGCAAGTAAGGAAGCAATCACCATGGATGCTTCAGAATAAGGCACTAGAACTGTGTTTTGCATCTGGTAATCTGTACTTTGTTTAGTGAACATAAAGGTATATATAAAATTGTGACTAGTAGATGTATACAAGGATGTATGCACAACAGGTTAGCTCCAAATAAATATAATTTGAAATTAAAAAGTAATATTAATAAAAATAATGTTTTAATGATGCAGTTGTGACCTTTTTTCTTCTTCTAGGTATGCATAGGGAAGCTGAACTGAATTGAAATACTACCATACTAACAGGATCTAGAGGTCCTTAATTATCCCCACAATGAAGCTCTGTTTCATTTAAATTAGGAAAACAAATGTTCAGCCTGGAGGATGTGGCCCACCAGCACCTTGAATAGCCCTAAGAGCCCCCAAGAATGAATTGAAAAATTGACCCTCTTTTTTTGTATTTTTGGTAAGATTGAAGGTTTAACTGGTAAAGTGGATCTTCTAAGCCTTTCAGATGTTTAAGGCATCCATTTCAACCCTTGGAATTCCTGGAATTCAACCCTGGTTCTCTCTGCTTTTGGAGTGTGCCCCCTGACTTATCATGCATAGTTTGTGTGACCTCAAGCCAATCTAAATTGTTCACTTTGCTTAAATGGATTACTCTTTGGCAAAATCAAGGACAGATGAGAGGAGTCTAGTCTTGGATCACTGGCCTAAGCCTCTTCAGTGCCATGCAGAGATATAAACAGGAAGGGTGAAATATGCCAAGATGTCATCCACAATGCATGGTCAAAGCCTTGCCATGTATTGGGTAGAGTGCTTGATCATTCCGTCCTGGCGCCATCTTGAATTTTTATATCCCCCATCTTTTGATGTACCTGGTCTTTTGAAACAGTTCCTTGAATAAGTATGGATGTCCTTTAGCTCTTCTCCAGCTAGAGAGAGATGTTTCCTACCTATGATTCCATTCCATACATAACTGCTAAGGGAAGGATATAAAATAGGCACAAAGTCTTGGGGGTGAACCCTACTCACCTCTCCAAATATTCAACATACATATGAACATCCTTCACTGGTATCCACCTAACTTTGCTCATAGGGAAAATAGAATAGACAATTGTCCTTGATCGGAACTGAAAGGGTGCACTTATTACATTAACCACAAGGATCTTTCTTCTGAAATATACAGTAGGATCAAGGATTCTTGTATGCTTTACAAAATTGCAGAGACAAGGTTAGAAATTGTTATGCTTGAATGGGGTTTCCAATTAATGTAATATATAATGCACAAAGCAATGAATATGCAACATTCATAAAAGTATACATACTTTTAACTCAAACATTTTAATTGTTTATATACTGTTTTATATTTCAATGTTTTATTAGTCCATCTTTGAAAGAAATGTGTAGTTCAGAAATGTGAAATACAAATAAATATCAAAGTAAAACACAGGAGCTGATAAAATTTGTTGTATGTTATACTATATAAACCTGTCAAGTTAGAAAGCAAATGGGTTTATAAATTCCTAGAAAGTTACATACTCTGCTTATTTCTCTGCTCTTATTGTATCTGTGATCCTGCTCTAGGTATCTTTGTCCCTCCTGAGTAAGGAGAGACTGGGGAACCACTGAAGAGTATAAGGCACTGATGTCAAACTTGCAGTATCACATTGCCGTCACATAACATTTTGTGATGTTTTTTCCATCTGCGGAACTGGGGTAGGCGTGGCCTGCATGTGCCGCCAGTTTGACACCCCTGCTATAAGAGCTATAAGGATTATACTAGTCTTGCTATAAGGGCTATTCTAGGCACCTATTTGATAATAGTAATTTGGTTTGCTTGGAATTGATCATGGCTATGCAGCTCCAATGGAATGGATTGAGTTATAGTTTTCCTTGATTATAACAGAGTAGAATGTTTCTTTGAGTAAGGGGATGTTCTAGCTTCTTTGAAAGAAGGAGGAGTTAATCAACTCTTTGAAAACCACTGCTAGATCCAACAGAACTGAACAATTTTGTTTAGGTCTCTAAAAAAATCAAGATTATTGAGTAGGTGAATGTCTATGGAGATTTTCAGCCACACAAGTCATGGTTGTGTTGGGCTCCATATTCAACTATGCCCGCCAGTAATAAAAGAATAAAACACGTTAATTGTGGATCCCTCCCACCAGCGACGAAGTGGATGCAGAATGGGGATTCCCTATGATGCTGCCTTGCACTGCTACCTGGGAGTGGGAGGCTGAATGGGAATTCCCACATGACGTGGCTGGGGCGCTCTGCTGTATAAGGCTTTAGCGCGGGAAGGGGGGATTAGTGCGGGAAAGGGGGATTTATACACCAGGTGTTACGGGGTGTTCAGGGAAGTAAAGGGGATCAGTGATAGGGAGGATGCAGAGCGTTTGAGGCTATGGCATGGGAGTAACTAATTAGCCATATTAGGAAACATTGAATACATAGGGCAGTCTACAGGAGGTAGCTGCGATTAGATGGGTGGGTTTATGCTATAAAGAGTGCTGGAAGGCAAATGCTCCCAGCACTAACCTAGATTGGAATTCAAGCCATTATCGCCAGATGGGATGTGTGTTATTTCTACAAATAAATGACTGCATAGCTCAAGGTTCGTTGGTTTGTATCTTGGGAATACGAACATCCAAAAGACCGGCTAACAGATTATCCCAAAGGTGCTTTTTCAAGAGGCAACTGGACTTCCTTGGTTTTTCCTTGAAGACATTTTGCTTCTCATCCAAGAAACTCCTTCAGCTTTGAAGCTTCTTGGATGAGATCTGAAAAAGCTGCTTTGATGAGAAGTGAAATGTCTTCAAAGAAAAACAAAGTCCAGTTGCCTTTTGAAAAGGCACCTTTGGGATATTGAGTAGGTGCTAGGTTTGCAGCTCCAAAAGGCCCTGAAAAAAATAGATTGTTTATACCCTTTTCAATTGACTTTCAGGCTGAGTTATAGTGCTAAGACAGCATTGACCATACCTATAGATGACCTCTGGCGTCTTTGGACAGGAGTGGTGTATCTGTCATCACTCTTTTAGGCTTTCAATACTGTCAATCATGGTATCCTTCTAAGCTTTAGTGATTGGAAGTGAGAGGGCCACAGTTTTACAGTGGTTGTTTTCCTTCCTCTGAGGAAGTTTAAGACAGCATTGAAAGGTAGGTGATATCTAGCTCTGAAACCCTTTATTTTGTGTGTATTTCAGACTTAGTTCTCTTCCCAACTTCTGTTTAATATCTACATGAAGCTGCTAGGTGAGATCATTCATCAACAGAAGGTTAAGCATAAGCAGAGTGCTGATAATACTCAGTTTTACATCTTTGCTCCAGACTATATAAGTGATGCTGTCGAGGTTCATTTTCAGTGATTTAGGGCTGTGAGGATGTAGATGAAAAAGAGCAAGCTTGGACTTAACTCTGTTAAGACTGAAGATTTAGGGAGGCAGATCTGGAAATGTTCCATCATTCATTTTGAATGGGATAGCAGTCCCCTGGAGCGGGTGGGAAACTTGGGAGCTCACCTAGTTTTGATTATAGAAGCTGGTGGCAGCTGTAGCACAAAAGGCCTTTGTGCAAATTTATATTTTGCACTAGATCAAGAGGCATTGCTTGCAGTCACTCAGGTCATAATCATTTCTTGGTTGGACTATTGCAACGTGCTCTTCATAGGGCTGCCTTTAAAAGGCATTTGGAAGCTGCACTCGATCTATAATACAACAGCACAATATCTCATAAATCATCACCATCCCCGCTACAAGAACCTTCCAGTAAGATTCTGTGGGTGCAATGCCAGGTGCAATTGTCCCCTTTAGAGTTCTGCATGAGGTAGGACTAGCTTACTTGCAGGATTATCTATCTCTAATGATCTCATCATCTCTGCACTTCCTTTGTTGGATAGGAAACAACAGGCTGGGTCTCTTGTGTAAAACAAGGTCATTTAGTGGGGCCCAGGAAAGGTGTCTTCTGTTGGAATAAATATCCTTTTGGGTTCAATTCCATGGGGGGGAAAAGACACTGGAATTGTGGAAGTTACTTGGAAAGAAAGTTTAATGGTGGACAGGACCACATGGCTGGATGAAGAAAAAAGTGATCGCCTCCTTCAAGAAGTTGGGTGAAGAAAGAAAAGGGCTGAGATGCTGAAAGTGCCTGAGTTTTATGCCCTCTGTTGAGCCCCACCTTAGTGTTTCCTGTTCCTGTGTAAGAAATGTATCCAGGGGTGGGATTCTACCAGTTTGGACCAGTTCTATAGAACCAGTTGTTATGATTCTGTGAAGTTCGGAGAACCGGCAAATCACACCACTAGCTGCCCCCTTCCCTGCCCTCGGATTTCTGTTTTCTAGGTGATCTAAACAGCTGTTGTACTGCTTTGCCTTCTCCCAGGAGGCTTTCCTGAGGCCCAGTCAGAGGTGGTATTCAGAGGGTTGTGGGGTGGGGGAGAAGTGGCCTGAGAGCAGAGCTGAATCTTCCTTAGGACTGAAGCTTCTATTTTTCAGTGCAGACTCAGGCAGCAGATTGCAGAAAGGTAGATCTGTGAGTGAATCTGTGATTCTGCAAGCAACTCAATCTGCTTTGCCTGATTTTGGGTAAAAGTTTATGTATGTATGTATGTATGTATGTATGTATGTATGTATGGTATTTAGAATATATATAGTATATATATATTTAATATTTACATAAATATTTACAATATTTACATACAAGCCATGCCCAGCCAGTCACATGATCACCAAGCCACACCCACAAATTAGGCCATGCCCATAGAACTGGTTGTTAAGAAATTTGAATCCCACCCCTGAATGTATCCCATTGGCTGTCAGACTCCATGGGGTGGCGATCTTAGCTAACTTTGTAGGCTTTGTCTGAGTGCTGGCCAATGTAATCTTCCCGGGCCATGTGGTGAGATGGCTACCTTTGTTATTTAACATACTCTGGCCCAGGCCTTAATGGCCCATTGGCAAAGGTGGGAGGGCTGAGTTTCTGCCTCTCTGAGTTTCCGCTTCTCTTTTAGGGGAAATATTCTGCCTTTTTAATATACCCTAAAATATTTCATTTTTTACTAGGAGAGGGGTGGGTGCTAACTTCCTACACTTCTTTGAGGCAGCAGCTACCCTATGGGATAAGCTGCCCCCGCCTTTTGGGGGGGCTTTCTGGGTGACCTTGTGGGCCTGACTTTTACTGCAGGTGCTGGAAACAGCATGTTAACCCACTATAGAATAGATGTTGTTGTGTATTTATCAAGCAGCTTGATCATTTTCAAATTGGTATTGTTTCAATTTTTTTTTTTAAAAAAAAAATCTTTTGGTCTCTGTTATTTGTTCGCTATCTAGAGTTAAGATGGGCAGCAATATAAATTTGCTAAATAAATAAGATGCAAAAATATACTCGTAAAACTCATCAGTGGGAAAGTTGATTTACACCATGATCTCTTGCCAACTGTCTCCACTCCCCAACCGGGAAAATATATAGCTAGTGTTTCATATTTTAAATGCACCCCAATATATATTTAAAAGAAGAGGAAAACATCTGGCTGCTGCCTCCCCCATCTCCCTGGAAGGTTCGGCTAATCCTGTAAAGGCAGCTGTATCCTCTGGACCAGGGGTCTCCAACCTTGGCGACTTTAAGACTTGTGGACTTCAACTCCCAGAATTCCTCAGCCAGCTTTACTTTAAAGTGGTACCTAGCTTTTGCTGGCTGAGGAATTCTGGGAGTTGAAGTCCACAAGTCTTAAAGTCGCCAAGGTTGGAGACCCCTGCTGTGGACAGTGAATGAACTGGGACTTTAATTAGGCACCAAGACTGCTAGTCTCTCCCTTGTTTTCTCCGTAAAGCCACAAAACCAGTAAAGAGCTTTCTGCTATGACCACAGTTAGATTCTTATTTCCAGCTTCTGTCTTAATTTGGCACCCAATTCCTGCTAGATACTGAATGATCCAACCAATTCCCAATCTTTCCATTGCTACACAGCTATTTCCTGGATTTATTCTCCCCAAAGCTGTTTAAACAGTACCAGAAAAGGAATTTTAACTGAATTCCACTTTTATCTCTAAGTTTTAACTTTATTCTTTATCATCTGCGTTTTTATCCATAGGCTCCTATTGCATTATTATGTTGTTGTAAACCACCCAGAGTCACTTAGGTCTAACATGGGTGGTATAGACTTTTAATTAATAAATAAAACCAATAGGAAAAAAAATCAATTCAACCTTGTCAATTGCATTGATTCTGGTTTCTGTCATCCATTCCTTCTTCAGGATCTAAACTCAGTCTGCAACAATCTCAGTTCCAGAAAAGATTACTTGCCTTGGGCTATTGCTAAAGTAAAGGAAAAAATGTTTTAAGATAGTCAAAGAAACCAAAGACAGTACTATAAGCAACAAAAGCAAAGTCACATGTAACAGAATTCACTAGATTAATAATAACCTAGAAACAGGAAAAAAATTCTTAGCATTAAGATCACTGTGGGGAAAACTGGCAGTGGCATCCATATCTAGGATTCCGTCAGTAGCTATCATCTCACATAACCGTATAAGAAACAAAATCACCTCTGAAACTAGAAGACAAATGAACATTCATGGCCAAGTGAATGTTCTCCACAAACAAGCAACCAATTAACAATAGCAATTAGTGAAACAACTTTATAGATTCTGTAATTTAAACCTGGAAGTTGCTTAGCCCCCACCAAGAGGATGCTAAAATGATATGTTCTTCGCTACCAGACTTCCTGAGAGTGGACAATACTGTTAAGCTTTGAATTAAAAAAAAAAAAAAGCCACTAAGTAGCTTCGTCTCAGAAGAACACTGCTCTGAATTTGGGAAAGTGGGGGGTAGCGAACGCAGCCATCAAACAATTAATCACGGATTGTTTATGCTTTACAAGTATGAAAACCAACCAAAATATTTTTAAAAAAACTGGCTGCCAGCCAAAATACTCAATGAGCAAGAAGTTCATCAGCATTTCACAGGAAGCTTCTGATCTGTCAATCACACAAAGTCTGATCACAGTTCCAAAAGGGAATGAATCCTGCAGATTCACACACTAGTCTAATAATTGAGCTGAGCATGGCTCTGTTTCTGCCATTTTGTTCATTAATAAAATATTATTATTTATGTCCTGTATACTTTTCTTAACTCAAAAGAGGCTACTCACAGTAGAAAGCCTAATGTACGAAAAGGTTTTGATCAACCCTTGTTTTCCAGCCTTAAATGAATAGGGCTCTCTAGACCAGGAGTGTCAAACTTAGGGCCTGCGGGCCATATCCAGCCTGCAAGGGGCTTGGATCTGGCCTGCAGGCTGGCCTGAAAATATCAAAGAACCGGCCGTGGTGCCTCTGCTGGCCAAAATGGGGTGTGAGGGGAGCCATACAAGTCCCCCCACGGCCCGTTTTTGGCCAGAAAAATGCTGCAGGAGGCATCCGTCCCATCTCTCCTTCCTCCCCCATAAGCCCATGGAGAGCTACAATGCTGATCTGGCCCTCAAAGAAATCCAGTTTGACACCCCTGCTCTAGACTGACCTTCTAATGTTTTTTTAAAAAATCATTACAATTATATCTAATATTTCAGAAGTTCTCTGATTAGAGCCAAGCAAAGCCTTGAAAGGAAGCATGGACAAAGCATCTCTCTTCGAATCATTGAAAGTCATATTTTGCTTCATGCAGCTGCTTCAGATACTGTAGATAGTCCTCAACTTGCAACCTCTCATTTAGTGAGTCTGTTCAAATTTATGAGGTTGCTGATAAAAAATGACCTATGACCAGTCTCACATTTATGACCATTGCAGCATCCCTGTGGTCATTTGTTCACGATTTGGGCTCATGGCAACTAGCAATGATGGTTACCGTGTCCTGGGGTCATGTGATTGCAATTGGTGACCTACCCAACCAGTTTCTGATAAGTAAAATCAACAGGGGAAGCAGGATTTGCTTAATGAATGCATATTTTTAACAGCTGTGACTGTTGTGGTTCGCTGGCAGCCTGTGTAGATGGCAGCAGAATTGGACAGTGGGGAAGAACAGGGACCAGTCAGGGAGCCTGGAGAGGACTTGGACGAGAGTCCTGCATCTGATGCAGAGATGGGGCCAGGACCATCTGAGAGTGGGATGCTGACTCCGGAGCCTCCGGAGTCTGGCAGCAGCAAGGCCAAGGAACAAATGGAGCCTGTTCCCAGAACACGTGTGCGCAGAGCTGCTAGAAGGGAAGAGCAGCTGAGACAAAAGGGGCAACTCAGGAGTAAGGCTTGGAGGTGATTGCCCCTCCTAGAAGGTATAAAGGACAGGCAAAGGTGATGAAACCTTTGTAGGAAGTCAAGCCGTTCATTCTGTTTGGATTAATCCTTGACGTTCTGTGTGGACTTTGTACTTTGGTTGGTTTTTTATAATTCATTCGGCAGTCTAGTTGTTGGCAGCATTTCAAAGGAGAGAAAGGTGGCTGCTTATCTCGAAGGGACTGTTTGGGACTCATTACTGGTTGGGAATGAAAATAATTCCCAGTGTTGAAATAAAACAAGAGTTGTTTTAACTAAGCGTGTGCTTAATTATGGTGTCAGGAAGCCTTCGTCAGAACAGTGATGATTCACTTACTGTCCACAACAAAAAGGCTATAAAATCAGGAACGGTCACTTAATGATTCACTCAATGACCGCATCACTTGGCGATGGAAGTTCTGATCCCAAATGTAGTTGTAAGCTAAGGACTTCTTGTACTCCTAGCTGTTTACTTTCAATCCTCGTATGTCCACACTACTATTGTCTCTGATAAAGGAGGTTTACAGATACTTGCAAAACCCAGAACAAAAATGAAAATTAGATTCATATGCAAAAATCCAAGTAGCTCCAGCTTCAACTTTCTGGTTTTAGGAACCCTTCACTTTAGATCTTATAAACGCTACAGGGCCCTAGTATTTGTGAATGTAATTTAAATTTAAAGTAAAACTTTGTTCTGCCAAACTGTTTTTTTATTCCTTTTCAGAACAATTAATTCACTCTAGCTGACATCAAGAATTACTTCTCTTGGACCTTAATTTTCAAACTGAATTAAGTTTTATTGCATAATATTGTTGTCCTATATTTGGACACTTTCCTCTTAATCAGCTTTTAAATGTTTACTGCTTTTCCTCAATAACCTAGGTAAACAACCAATTGATCAGCACAAAGTGGGCAGCTATAAACTTGGCTGTAGAAGAAAGAAACCGCGTTTTAAAAAAGGAATATTTTTTAGATGAAGTGGACCTTCTAAAGAGATGTAGATAATATGAGAGCAAAGAGGGAGAGAGGAAAAAAAACTCGCATCAATCATCATTTTATATCTTTTTTGTGTGTCAATATTTCAAGCTTACAAAATAGGTAACAACCACATTAAAATCTTTTTTTCCAATACTTTTGTCTCGCATTTTTACAAACAATTGATGGAAAGCTTCTTTAGCAATTTAATGTCAAGATTTCTAGATAATCTCTTCGGTCTTGCTTTGTTTTGTTTTTTGAACCATTTCATAAATTTTGTGTTGCTTCTTTTGTAACTTAAATCCAGATGTAGATCAATGCTGCCACCTATGGAAGCTATGCAGGAAAATCCAACAGAAAAAAGCAAAAAAGTACAAAACGCCAGGATAAATAAAAAGAATAGAACAGAAGAGTTTAGTATCTGGACAAGTGTTTTCTTTTTTTAATGAAAATGAAATACCGTAGTTATTTAGAAGCAGTAGAGATAATAAATTTTACTCCTGTTTTGAGTCAGTGTTGACTTTCTGATGGCTACTTAAATTAAGCCCTGCAGTTTTCTTGGCAATATTTTGGGATTTGCCCTTGCCTCCTACCTGGTATATGCAGTACAATGCAGTGGGACATGTGCAGATCTGTACATTGGGAAAACAAAACAACCACTTCATAAAACACATGGCACAACATAGGAGAACAAACCCATCAGGACAAGATTCAGCAGTCCATCTGCATTTAAAAGACAAAGGCCACTCTTTTGAAGATAGTAAAGTCCACATTTTGGACAGAAGAGGACCGCTGGTTTGAAAGAGGAGTCAAAGAGGCCATCTATATCAAAATTGAACAGTCCTCTCTCAACAGAAGGAGAGATACAATACCATCTATCTCCAGACTACAACACAGTCCTTTCAGTAGTTCCAAGAAGACTCCACTCCCATTTGCACCACTCAGATGACCCTGAAGACACAGATAAACCTCCAAGTGGCCTCCATGACTCTCTAAAAGAATGCAAATGACCAGCTGTCTGCAAGGGGTATAAATCCTTCCTTTCCCCATCATCCAGTCAGAGCTGAAGCTTCTTGATGAGAAGCAAAACTTCTTCAAAGAAAAACAAGGAAGTCCAGTTGTCTCTTGAAAAAGCATCTTTGGGACCTCCTTCCTAGAGTTGATGGGGAGTGACTGGCCAAGGTCAGGCAACTGACTTACAGTGTCTAAACTGGAATTCAAACTCCTGGTTTCTAGCCGGTACCTTAAACTACTACACCAAATTGCCTCTTAATATTCTCAAAGAATATAATTGATAGAGAAATATACAAACAGATAATTTAATAATCTACTAAATAAACAAATGCATGTTTTCTACTGCAATTCCCTCCCTCACACCCCATATCTACAGCCCAACGTTGAGCCAAGAACTTTTCAACTGTCAGGGTTCTAGATAGCATAAACCAGGCATGTCTAACCTTAATGACTTTTAAGATTTGTGAACTTCAACTCCCAGAACCCTCCCGCCAACCATGGAGTTGAAGTCCACAAGACTTACAGTTGCCAAGGTTGGTTACTTCTGATGTACACATTTGAATTGTACACAACTCTTTCTCAAACTGGAACCAAATTAGACTATACTACTTTGATGGCACACATAGCAGCTTTGCCCTGGGGGGTGAAAACAATGTATGTGACAAAACCATTGCTCAAAGACCATCAAAGAGGTATACAGAAATTATTTTGTATCTGTGGATCCAGATTATAGTATCAGTATAAACAAACCTTTGGGCTATAAGTGTTTTTCAAATAGTAATTAAAATGGCATTAATCCAGCAATAGGGAGTCCTCAAAATAGCTGATCTAATGACCATTACAACTCTTTATATGTCACACCTCTGCTGAGCAAGCTGAACTGGCTCCATTTCCTTCCAAGTGAAATTCAAGGTGTACGTCATCATCTTTAAAGTCCTACATGCAGAGCGATATTAGTCTTGGAACCACCTTTTTCTATGACATCCTACCAGGTCAGATAGGCGAGGCATGCTCCTAGTCCTTACCCACAAATATTGCCTCTGGTGGGTGAGCTAGGAACATGGTAGCCCCTGCCATGAGGAACAACCTTCCCTCAGAAATTCAGCAGGCATCTCCTCTCCTACCCTTCCGTAAAGCATTGAAGACCTTGCTCTGCCTCCAAAGACTGGGCTAGGAATAGGATGAGATTGTGCATATCTTGGCACTAAGTTTTTATTTTTAATATGTTTGGTTTTAATATTTGACGTTTTTAATTTTTCATTGGAGATGCCCAGAGTTTGTTATAGGAGAGGCAGCTGCATAAATATTTTAAATAAATAAATGAGCTTACATAAAAACTAGGTACTGTATCTAGGGTCATAATATTTTTGTTATTTAATTCAGATCTTTCTCAGAGATATATGCATTTATTATTTTTACAAATAATTCAAGGTAGTGAATGCGGCTAATACCCCTTCCTCCTATTTCCCCACAACCCCCACCATGAGGCAGGTTGGGCTGAGATAGAGCCCAAGTCAGCCAGGGGAAATAAGCAATACATTCCAGTAATGTAGCAGCTCTCGGTTTGTTAGCAAGGCTTTCTGCCTAGCATGCCATGCCAATCAATTGAGGGAAGATACTCTTAGGATGGAGTCAAAAGATCATCTAAGGAGCTACTGGATGCGGGCTGGTTTCGGTTTTCATCTTTCCACTTTATTGATCAAATATTCTCACTCTCCAAAGCAAGCCAGCCATTACGATTCCATTTTTGTCCTTTCTGGCATGTTCACATGACCTTCCCTATTAATTAGAGTTATATATTTGGTGGGAGAACCAAAGGTGTTTTTTTTTTCAAGAGGCAACTGGACTTTCTGGTTTTTCTTTGAAGACGTTTCACTTCTCATCCAAGAAACTTCAGCTCTTCAGAACCGAAAACGTTTCTTGGATGAGAAGCGAAACATCTTCAAAGAAAAACCAGAAAGTCCAGTTGCCTCCAGTTGCCTCTTGAAAAAAACACCTTTGGGACAATCATGAGCTGGATAACTGAGAATCTCCATAGAAAGTTGGTGGGAGACTACAACTTGATTCACAGGGAATATCACAATTACCAAATCCCAGTGAAGGATTTCAGTTCCATTTCTCTGCAACTCATATACTTTTCATTTGCCACTGAATAGCAAATCAGATGCAACTTTGCCAATATATGAAGCTATAGAATGATAAGGAACGCAACAGATCACGATGCATTGGTAAAAATGCTATTATGAGGCATTTTTTTTAAAAAAGTGTATGTTTTCTCTTATTTTATAAATTCTCTGGGGAAATATTGTTTTATATTTCTTTAAAAAATGTAAAGCTCTGTTGACTGTTGTTTTATGAAGAACAAAAGACCAAACCTGTATGGTCATGTATTGAACTGTGGCACACCCTCATGTGAGATCCACTTGTAGCAGGTAAATCATTGCCTGGGCTATACACGTATTGTATGTATGTTTATAAATTCTCTTAATCTCTTCAATTTAGGGTATCATTCAGTCAGCTTCATCTCTCTAGAATGGGTAACAACATATGAAAAGCAATACATTATAAGCATCAAGATTAGAATTTATAGTTCAAAAGCATTAATGTTAATATTTATCTATCTATTGCACTTCAATACCCTCCTTCTTAATAAACAAAATTTCTTAGATGAATCACAGGAAATAAATATCTTGGGCTTAAATAATATTGACCATGGAGCATGTTTTGTTTCTTAGCCAAATAGTCACACTTAAAACTTTGAATAAGACTTCAAAGTGTACAATAGGAAAGTAAATAGCCAGAAGAATAACTCTACATTAGGAAGAATAAATGGCCAAAATGTATTATTATAAATTTAACTTACATTAAATATAATCAGTGCAATTAGTGCCAATGTTCTTAATGGTTTTTCATTTCCAATAAACTAAAACTTACAGGTTGGGAAGAGGTTTGGAGAGTGTCTTAGGACTCACAGGTCTTAGACCACAGGACAAGTTTTGTTGACAAATCCACATTTTTCACTCTTTGCTATTTGGCATTCACAAAGTATGTTGACATTATAGATAGTCCTCATTTAGCAACTGCCTCATTTAGTAAACATTAATAGTCATGACAGTAACGGAAAAAGTAACTTTATGACCAATCCATGCATTTACAACTTTCATAGATCTATGCAGCAAAGGAAAGCTGAAGTAAGGTTGTTCATCACAATCATGGTTTCGCTTAGTGATCACTTGATTTAACAACCAATCTGTTGGTCCCAATTGTGGTTGCTAAATGAGGACTACCTATACAAATCCCAGAATTCTTAGCCACAAATTAGACCATGAAAAGCGAAGTGAAATGAAAAGCCAGTGCGCTTGGAGCATTTAAACATTCTGAGCACTCACTGAGTATTAAATTGCTAAGTGTGAATACCCAATCTTGATTGCATATTACATTTCACTTTGTCTTATGCTTATTAAACAAACATCAATGGGGTAATTATTTTCTTTAAAAAAAAATGAAACTCATTAGGATTAAAAGATGGTAGATAATTCCTCACCTTTGATCAGGGGTGGGCTTCAAAATTTTTTAGCAAAGGGTTCTCTGTCCGGTTGTTGGGTGGGCGTGCCCTAGACAACCTCCTGCACCATGGCAGGGGGGAGGTGTTTTCACCCTCCCAGGCTCCAGAGGCTCTCTGGAGGCCAGAAATGGGCCCATTTCCAGCCTTCCTGAACTTTAGGAAGGCCCCGTATGCCTTGCATCCAAAACAGGCTACATGGCAACTTCTGGGAGGAGCGAGGTGGGCAGAGCCATCCAGGATTGGGATTTGGGGATTCTCCAAACTGCACAGAATCTTAGCTAGGGGCTTTCCTGCAAACCCCCCAACAGCCCATCCCTGCCTTTAATGTACAGAAAAAAGAAGAGACACGGTTTCTTGCAATTCTTCATTTTCCTGCCATTTTTATTACTGATCTTGGGAAGTACCACCCAATAAAGAAAGCTATATCAAATCATTCACATTATGTTCAATAAATATATTCCTGGAGATAGCAAGGGCATACTGTTTCAGGGTAATGAACTAGTATAAGCAAACAAATGCTAGTTTAGTGTTAATAGTGCATGTTACATCACTACCATCTCCTATGACAGAAAAGTACAACTGAAGATGCTTTGAACCAATGAAGAAATGCTTTTCTTATTTATTTATTTTTAAATACATGTATTTATTAAGAAAACTGGTGCTGGCTCTATCACGAGCAACCTGAAGAAAATATTAATCCAGTGGACCATACCAAAGGCACAGTGGTGTTTATTACAAGAACTGCAGAGTCAGTCGCTTCCAACAAAATCAGTGAGACCACAAAGCTTCCCGTCCTGATAATTTTGCTGCAGTAGCTGTCCTTTACGTGAGAGAAGTAGAAGGCTGACTCTGTAGCACGATACTCCTCAAGCAGGGTAACTCATCTAAGTCTCAAATGAATTCAGTGGCCTTTTATTTCACTGCATCTGAACATCACAGTGTTGCAGGAAGTCTCGGCATAGATTCCGAACTTCAGCCATTTTTTGATTTTATAATCCATTCAGCATTTGGGTTCAGCTGATATAAGTCCTTCATGAAAGTGTCGTCATCTAGGCATCGTTCACCTGTCATGGAAATGTATCATATAAGCACTTAAAATACCAAATAAGGATTTCAAGGAATGATTTTCTTAAGAGGAAATTTCACTGAAGAGGGCAGAACTTATTTCTGTCGAAGTCATAAAATCAGGCAAGACACCACCATGGACTGTAACTTCAATATCGCATGCTATACGCAAAACATTTTTATGTAATTACTAGCTGATAACCCGGCATTGCCGGGGTATTTATTTATTCCAATTCTGTATTAGACAGGAAAATCTTGTAATTGGGACTCACGCTGTTGTACTGTCTCCTGTGCAGTGTCGCAAGTCTTCTATTCCTCTCCTTGGGAGTTTCTTGTCTATGCTGGTGTTTCATTTTTTTGATTGCATTTGGCCAATCACCTGACGTTTCCTTGGACGGGTAAGAGGGAACCCCCTTGTGGACTACTGTGAAGCCATTACGGTAGAAGCCATTTTAAAGTACGCACACACCCCGAGAGGTGTTAGGGGCATTTACTCCAACAATATTCGTTTCCAGAGGGTAAGTCATCTGTGTACCAAGTTTGGGTGAAATTGCTCAAGGCGTTCCAGAGTTATGCTGGTGCACACACACATACAAACACACACATACACACACACACACACACATATATATTCCACTTTTAAGGGATGCTTAACTCTGGCTGATATTCCTGCCTGATTCTGAAATGGAAGCATTTAAGTAATTGTTTGCTCTCATCACAAGCCACTTTATTATATCCGGAGAATTGCCATAACTACACCAGCCCCTAATCACCTTTGGAAAACAATTGTGCCATGTTCAATATTCCTCAATCAGTGGACTGGGAATCTCTCTTTCACCCTCTCTGCATGCTTTCTCCAGATGGTAGCTATGCATAATCGTCCCTGTTTACCCCATTGTCCCTGAGCTAAAACTATTTGCTCATGGAAGCAGATTCTAATCTATAAAAATTTCTTCCCTGCTGAATAATACAGTAACTGAAAATAAAATTCAACAAAAGTCTTTTTTTTTAAACAAAGTGCAGTGTTCAAACAGGATCCTTGCTGGGGATAGATCCTTAAAGGTAAAGGTTCCCCTCACACATGTGTGCTAGTGGTTTCTGGCTCTAGGGGGCAGTGCTCATCTCTGTTACAAAGCCGAAGAGCCAGTGCTGTCCGAAGACGTCTCAGTGGTCATGTGGCCGGCATGACTAAATGCCAAAGGCACATGGAATGCTGTTACATTCCCACCAAAGTGGTCCCTGTTTTTCTACTTGCATTTTTACATGCCTTCGAACTGCTAGGTTGGCAGAAGCTGGGACAACGCGCAACTCCATTACACGGTGCTAGAGATTCGAACCGCCAAACTGCCAACCTTTCTGATTGACAAGCTCAGTGTCTTAGCCACTAAGCCATCAGCATTTGGCCTTATCCACCTCTGAACAAGGTCATGTGACAAACTACAACAAGCTGTTGTAGTTTGTCACATGACCTTGTTCAGAGGTGGATAAGGCTAAATGCTGATGGCTTAGTGGCTAAGACACTGAGCTTGTCGATCTGAGCTTGTTGTAGTTTCCACTCCCACAGGCC